ACTGTAGAAGAATCAAGGGATCGGTAAGAATTTAAGCGATTGTGAATGACTTTGTGTCATGCACGTGATCTAAAAAAAGACTGTATACGCTTCGAAGTGCGGGACAAAGTCGATCAATGGCGGATTTTACTTAACGTAATTTGAATGAACCACAAGGGAGGCAATCGAAGACGTGGACTTGGCAGCAGAGCTCAAAATTGTAGAAGTTCTTCGTGAGAATTGTGTATTTTTCTATGTAAAGACCGCTTTAATATGCAGCAAATCATCCCTGACTGCTATTGGCAATTTTTTTGCACATTCGAAATGTAGGCTAAGTCTAGAGTGCATTTTTGCTGGGAAACAAGGGATTGTGCGGGTACGACTTGCCTGGCCACGGAAAGTGGAAATTAACGACACAAGGGGGTATCACACTCCTCTATAGTCTTACATCAACAGGCTTATTGATTTTTTGAAAAAAAATGTGCTCCCCTTTTGAGTGTTATTGAATATCTTTTGGTTGTTGTTCAACCCCTATCCCCAGAATTTACGCCCATGATATGGGTTGATCGTTTTGTGACGAGAAACAACAGCAATAACCATTTCGAATTGAATGATGCGATCTTTTATTCTATTTTAAGCAATCCTATGCACATAATTTATTTACAACACTATGGCACTATTTATAACGCTATTAATTATAACTTTCATTTATAAAAAATTCACTAAATAGCGACATCAAGTTATAATGAATCTCATTAAAAATTCCAAGGAATACATGCATTTACAAATGGTACAAAGTATTTACATCTTGCCACACTTCAAACAGCTTACTTCACTAAAAAAGCAACTGTGGTTTGGGTGCTATGAAAAATTCTAAATACGAACATCAGTGCCTTCTGCAATGCCCAACTGCGGAACAGGAAAAGTGAGAGAAACCGAACTTGGCTCGCTGGAGTCCGATGCGACGCTGCTCAGTAAACCAACGCTGTTGGAGGGAAAATCGAATTAGTTAAGGGATACGAATACATTATGAGCAGTTCAGAGAAGTCACAATGTGAAACAGAATGAAGAAGGGAAAAGAGGCAGAAAGGAAAGTTGTTGCAGCGATTGGAAAACAGACTAACAGGATTGACAAGGAGAAGAGACTCACCGAGACAGCCGAGACGGAAAGATGTGTACGCTAGACCAAGTCCGGGAGCTGCCTTCGCCTCAGCCGGGCACCATCCCTGGAGAGAGCCCCAAGCAGTACCACCTCCTGCCACGCTGCGATGGTCACAAGACTACGGTGACGGGAGACGGTGGGGTTGCGGAGACGGGACACGGGAACTCGGAGCGCCTCCATCAGGACTGGGGAGGAAGCAACCATGAGATGGGGTACGCCGCTGGCTGATGATGCTGCAGCGGACAGGGACGGTGGCTGGATGTGGACAGGAGATGCTGGCTGCTGGAAGTCCACCACGTCACCTAAAAACACCAAAACAACGATGAAAAGAGGAACACCAAAATTAGATAAAAGTGTATACAACTAATGTTGCAAAAACCGGCAATTTAGAATACCTGGCATATGTATAGGCCTATTTTTGTGACACCAAGGCACCATTGCTTTACCAGGGAGCATTTAGTAACACTGACATATGAAACAAATGACAAGATGTAGCCTAATTTTGACGAACACAATAACACACCATTCTGAATCAGTTGTTTCATAGAACGAAACTTTATATCCGCTCAGAAAGATAACATTACAAAGCTGTCATAAAAGTACATTCGCGAGAATGAAAAGTTACAAATTCATGAAATTTATGAAGTCATCGAATAGTTGGTCACCCAGGATCAAACTGTCTGCGTCATCGGTGTCGTTACGTCTAGGGCAATAGGTGTCGTCACTGCCAAGGTAGTGTGGCAGCTCGGGGAAGTAACCATCATATTGGGACAGCCAATCCTGACTGCAGACACTCTGCCCGTCGGACAGTATGAGGACAAATCCTCTTCTTAGGACTGGCGGCTGAACCAGACCATCTCGGGAGAAAGGTCCAGCGCAGCAGCTATCTTAAAATCCATGTTCTCTAAGGTACTACCTTTGAATTGGTAAGAGCTACGAATAAAGCAGGGTATGGTGAGCTGTCTGGATGAGATGAAGAATTCAAATCGAAATGATGAAGCTGACGAGATTAGCGAATTTTTATCTCATCTTGTGACAATTGTTGTCAATCACCCAGCCTCAGCTGTAATTCAGTCAGGCCTAATTGAGAAATAAAACGCAGAAGTACCCCCCTCTGCCTACAGGACAATGGGCGGCAACACTTTCAAATCAAAGACTGGTCTAAGGATTATGTGGTTTGCGCATAAACGCACACGCCGCGGCTGTTCAAAGTCGGTCCATCAACCGCCTTTGAAAACGTGAGTGACTCTCGCGGGGCTGGTCAGTAGTTGAAAGAGTGCTGCTAGGGAGGGCTGCAATCTCACCCTGGAAAACAGAGAAAAAGGCCTTTGCTCCTCACTCACTTTTTATTTTAGAAGTGATTTCCAAAAACAAGTTTGCCTCATTTTCCCCTGAAAGCTATGGAACCATGAAGTTCTGTTCATAAGACCGGCTGTCTTAAAAGGACAACTACACTTGACTTACCTCGTTATCCCATGAAACTGCCCAGATTGGTCTTCATAATGAACTATAATTTATGCAAAACAGAAAAATACAGTTGTATAATATCCATTGCAACGAGCTTACATATTGTGTACGAAGAGGTTTATTGATTTCATTTTGTGGTGACGAGGTTTCATTTGATGTGCTACTTTCTTAAAGAGACAAAATCTTACCATTTTGTATTCTAAGTGGTGGATTGTACAAACGTGATCTTAGGTTAAGATGTTTGAAGAACATCTTATCACAAAAATTACAAAGTGATGATCATATTGAATTCTTGTCGCTGCTGTGCCGAGTCATATCTCGCGTAAGATCGTAAAGTTACACCATCGAATATACACTGATGATTGAACAGTAATTTGCATCGATTCCAGTTTTGATTGGCTTTGATAAGAGACTTTTTCCTAAGCAAAGTTGAAGGATGTGGAACTGTCTCCACCAGAAACCCAATAGGAGAGGGTTATACCGGGTGTTGAAAGCCAGTGTCTTCTTTGCGCATAAGACCAGCTGTCTGCCTGAAAAGAACAACTTCACTTGACGTGTGCACTAGTGAGTAGGAGGTCGTGGGTTCGAGTCCCACAAAGTGACGATTGTATTCAATTCCACCATACTGAGCCACATCTCGCTTAAGATCGTAAAGCTGCATCATTGGATATGATTCAACAGTAATTTGCATCGATCATTCTAAGGTCCAAATCTGACCTCATCAAGTGTTTGCACAGTTTGGAGCCGAGACCAACTTTGCAATAGGTACAACAAAGCAAGACGTCTATAAGAAAGATATGCAATATAAGTTATGTCATAAACAGGCAAACTAGTAGATAATTGATTCCCTTTGCTATGTTCAGGAATTGGGGTTGCAAGATTTGGAGAGGGGCCACCAATGGCATTGTACTTTACACCCAAACCTGGCCCAACCAAATGCAGTGACACCCGACAGACAAAAGCCCAAAACTACTGGTCATTGCAAAACCCAATCAAAAGTGGGATCTGACTTTCGTAACAAGCTCATCAGCCAATTCGCGTCAGTCCGCGGTTTTTCTGATCAGCCGTCTCTTTGATAGAAGATGATTACCCTCCGCAATACGGGCGAGTCACAAAAGTGCGTCTACAGAGTTTGCAAAGCGTTTGCCAATAACGATGGGCTAAAAGAACTGCTAGTTTGGGACAAAATATGTTGGGTAAGGATTGAACAGATGCAAAAATAAAATCAAATACCACGTTGCTTTTTAATCTTCCCAAGCTGTGAGCGGGGTCTAAAGCAATTTCCTCTAATTTACTTGTATACCAAATACCGAGTATTGACTAAGTGTATTGTGTTTTCCTCAATGGACCATTCTTTAAAAGTTCCGACTCTAAAATATTAATCGAAATGACAGCCGTTCTCATTTAGTATTCACCCGTAACCCCCAAACGCCCAACTACAGCGCTGTTTACGTGTTCTACGCTTTTTAAAATCTCGACAAAATATCGCCACTGCTTTTTCAAAGTTTCGAACTTCGGCTGTCTTGGACGACTAACAAAAATCAGACCAACACCAAATTCCATTTAAACATGATGGCATTTTCCCCCTTTTGGGACGATTTAATATTTATATCGTGACATAAAGTTACATACTGGTTTTTATAAACCCAAACAAAAGAAAAGAGAACTCATAACGCGCATTATACATGTATCTTACACTAGACAATTTCAATAATATTGGTGTTAGAAAACGAGTGTTTTGAAAACAGCAAAATCGTCACTACTAGTCCGCATCCATGATGACCTCCATCCCACATTCTCCTATTGATGTCTTACAGAAAATGTACAAAATATAATTTTACATACACAGAACTCACGTTTCAAATCCTTTTCAAACATTTCCATGACCGTTCACATTAACACCACGATGTTGAATCTTACTTGCACAAGCAAGCTCAATTATTTCCGGGCCATTTGATTTAGGAATCCGACGACGAAGCCAAAAGGAAAATTCCAAGCAGTGCTGATCTCTTATGAGAGACTTTTTCCCAAGCAAAGTTGAAGGGTGTGGAACTGTCTTCACTCGAACCCCGAAGCAGTAGAAGACAGTTACATCGGTCCTTGCTCCATGGTTAGGCTGGATGTTAAAAGGCAGTGTGGTATATACATATTATGTGTCCAACTCCCTACCCTGAGCTCAGCGTCAGGTAAAACTTTAATCTCAGCATCCAGAGCAAGGGTCCATATTTTTACCTCTGTATTCTACCCATTCTGCCGGGCCAACCAGTTATGCTGGATCCCACGCTCAGTTATGCGTTATAAAAGCCTTTGTATATAGCAATTAAAGAGAAAGACATGCTCTACAGAAACTTCTGAAGTTCATCAAAACAACCAATATTGAAACTGTCACTTGGATCCTCTATTACCTGTTCCGAGCAATATTTTTAAAAAGAAATCAAAACGACTACATATATATCTTCAAGGATGAGAACCTAAACTCACCCTCCCCGGCATGCAAAGCCTATAAAAGGGTTCATTTGAATTTTTTTTAGTTCCTCTAAAAAAACAGTCAGAAAATGAAAGACCTTAAAAACTGTGTAAATACTTCATGCCTACAATTCTTCTGCAATTACGTTGCCTTGTAAAGTTTAAAACAAAAGCAAGGGGTGAGTTTACCGTATTGACTTTTAACATGTTAGACTGACAATTTCAGCAGGTCTTTCCTTCACCCGGTGTAACTGTGCATTGATGTGCTATTTACTATGTATCCAATCAGTAACTTTGATCCGTGGGATGGTGATAGATGCAGCACAGTGAATAGTTTCCATGTGGTTAAAAAATCCAAACAGAAAAAGGAGTGATTCTTGATGCAGTTAACCCATTATTAGAGGGAATGAGTCGACCGATCACAATGTGGGAAAAGTTCTAAAACAGCGATCACTAATGGCTGTAAATCGCTGGATCTTTTCCATACTTTCATAAGAAACGTCTCCTTGTCAACAAAATGGAAGCTGTTATCACTGAAATATTTCCCTGGACACAGATCGTTTGTGAGATAGAAGTACGGGGAACAATGTATTGAGAATCACTCTTATAATTCATTATTTAAGGGTTGGTGACACAGATGTACAATTTGTGATACGGGGTCCTGACATACACGAGAAAAAAATGAATCAAACAGCCTAATAGGCATCTCCAAAGAATTCCTGAAATTCAGGAATCACGAACATCACAAGGGGGGGGGCATCATGTTACTCTGCCATAGATCTTGCATCCAATGATTAAACTGTCTTTGTTTATACTTAATGGTTGAATTTCTGGGCACAAATTATATTCAATAATGCACTCAGGCCTTGGCGTACACTGGCACAGCCATTTTGCGTCCAACCTTCTCTTGCTACAGCACAAACCGTGGCCAATAAGCCATTTGCGAGTTAAGAGGCATAGTAGCAGTGTCTTTAGTCTGGGGAATTCAAATTGTTACGTTTCTATGCAATCAGATAACACAGTGTGCCAGATTTTATTCAAATTTAACTCGCAAGTGGCTTATTTTATGGCGCTCTCTGACAGTAAGCAGAGAAATTGTGCTTTATGCTCGCGAGTCTGTTTGCTATAAAGCAGTGCCATAAAATTGGGCTCTGATGATGCCTAGAGCTCCCAGTTGTGTAGATGAAGCCCCCTTCTGGTTGCATGTACAATGCCCACACGCCATCAAACTATCGCCTAATCCCTATGTACACCCTATTTACAATCAGTTACAAACTCACTCTTCATTTTAAGCCACAGAAAAGTGACAGTCGAAGGAATCAATCATTCTAAAAGCAGCAGATGTTGAAGATAAACCTCCAATATATCTGTCCTTTCAGAGTATGCAGCAAAACCTGATCAAAGGCTGATGGGCTGGTTACAAAAATGACAGCGAACTGATTTTGAAGAAAGTGTGAAAATCAGAATACAACATGGATACTAAGGGGAAAAAAAAGACATTTTACTTTCACATTCTCTTGCAGTACTGTACAGCCTTAATATTGAGGGACAGTGTGCCTTGTGTAGTTATGGCACCTTTGCAAATTCAAGTTTGACACCAGACTGCTCTTTAACTAAACTGACAGATCTGCAAGCAAGCCATCATTAAGTGCTGAATGTTCACACGTGTCTATGCACCCCTACTTATGTTATTAGTGTGGGCATTCCTTTGGTATTGTGCAGTTAAGAAAACTTGGTGAAAATATTCATATTTCTTGAACTGGGAACATGATTTTCAACTGGAATTTTGTAAAAGGTTCCCTTGACTGTTCCTCTTTCTTTTACAACATATGACTTTAACCCCCAAATGCCCCTGAACTTTTTCAGAGAAGGGGAATGTCCTGTGGACATGAGTAAGTCCACAGAATGTCTTCCTTTCCTGTGGACATCTTTTGTTTACAAGTCCACACAAGGTATGCAAGGTAAGCGCACTATTAAAGTAACACAATTTTACTCGCTCATTACTGGTAGGTTAACTGGTGAGAACAATGAGGACAGCTTAAATACTACGTGTACTGTAACATCATCGGTGCTGAAAACTTCTAGATTCACCAAACTAGCTTGGTCCACAGAAGAGTTTAATAATACCACTTCCTCCTAAAAAAACTCAGCAGTTTAATCCGCCAAGGGTATCTCAGAATAACGTCACAGGGAAGTTCTTGGTTTACAATGTTTGAATGGGAGAAAGTAAGGGGAGCGGTTGAGCGAAGGATAGTGGAGGGATGGATTAAGTTCGCCAAGTCTGTATCCAAATACAAACTTTATAATTCTTTCGACTGGCAAAAACTCTTCTCACAAACATGCTCCAGGATTTTCTCGAGCCCGGATACACCTAAATTGGGGCAGAGGAAAGGAGTGACGTGTGTGTGTGTATCCTTGTTTGCTTAAAGGGTTACGGCGTTTGTGCTTACAAAGATGCAAATGTCACAAAGATGCAAAAATAACAAAGCAAGGCTTAAGTTCTTGTCACTGTTTTTCTTCTGCAGGCATGCAGATCAAAAAGTCACACTGAATTTTTTCCCCATGAATTCAAGGGTAAAGGTTTTTAAAAATCTCTTTAGCGGTCGTCCCGCGTGTAGTAAACCTTATAATACAGGGATTTAGCCCGGAACAGTGAGTAGGAGTTGTCAAACTTGAGCAGGTAGACCCCACGGCCTGGATACCTGTGGCTCCCACAGAATTTCTTCTGGTGGCTGTCGCGGCGATAGATGGGAATGATCTCATCGATCGGTGGGCCACTCTCTTTGGTGCCACGCTCCGGGTCTGTCTTGCCATCTAAGACAGGTTTGGAGACACAAGAAGAATTGTCAGTAGTAAGAGCAGGAGACACAATCTGTAAACCTTCATAACGGTTCCAATATCAATTCGGATCTTGTAAAGCTTCTTATCAATATTTATTCAGAAACCTTCCTCTTATGGGGCTGATCACTCACTATTATTGATATTGTGAAGGTGGCGCCAAAAGGGTGGTGATATGAACAATTAGCCAGAGTATATCCAAACGTTTGACCTCAAACAAAGCCAACATTCTTTGGACAATCTCACAGCCTAGGCAGGGGGGTGGGGGAGAGCAGAGTCTGCTCCCGAGAATCTTAGCTGTCCCTTGCCCAAGTTCCTTGAAACTTACTATGTACATAAGGATATCCATCATGACTACACCTGTCAATAGTGAGTTCAGTCCAAAAGAGGATTGTCTTATTGTGGCTATTTATAGTTCAAACCCTTACATATGTCTGCTGTTTCTGAAATGTGACTTAATGTTAGTCAGTTAACTTTTAGTTACATGTAATATTCAACATATCCAAATGTTTACCCCCCAAAACTTTTCTGCATCATCTCACCACCAGGGATGGGGTGGGGGAAGGGAGAATCTTCTCCAAAATCTCAGCTCTCCCATAGCTTTTTGAAACTTGTTGTGCATGTAAAGATATCCACCATGAGTACACCTGTCAGGTTCCAGTTCAATCCAAAGGATTTTCTTGTCATAGCCATTTACAGTGTTGCTGGAGTGATGGATTTTATAATTTATTTTACTACCCCCTTCCTCAGTTCTGGATAAAGTACATTAGGAGCAACCGTACCGATGAGATTGCTTACAACTCCAAAAGTTGAAAGTATGCATGTAGAGTACTTGATATCAGAAGGGAGATACGGGGGAACTCAAAGAGGACACGTACCCTCGTCTTCATCCAATTCGTCCTCCTCACTGGAATCGCTGACGTGCACGCTGATGGCGTTGCTGGGGGCCACCGTCCACTCAAAGTACAGGCCGAAGCCGATGTCACAGTAGTCAGTGGCAAACTCCCAGAAGATGCAGTTGCCTTCCTCATGGGTGGGGACACGGACTGTGACTGTCTCGCCGTGCCCCACCCGGATCATGCCCTCCGAGTCCTTGGCCAGCTTCTCCTTGAACTCTTGGGAGTCATCTGTAGTCCAGCAGTTGGGCTTGGCAATCTCAGGCAATGAGTCTGCATTGGATAGCATTTAGCATGCACGGATAGATGATTTCACAAGTTGGAAGGCGTATCTATTGATATTTTTCATGACATACAACAATTTGTGGGCTTTCAAATATGCATTTTTAGGGAGACTGCAGCCAAGTGGTTAGGGTTCATGACTCATGATAAAGGCGTCAGAGGTCTAAATCCAACTATTAGCCACAGGTTATGGCCTTGGGCAAGCCACTTTACCGATTGATAGTCGGGGATAACCTGCGATGGACTGGCATCACATCCCCGAAGAACATATTTAGTCTCAGTCACTTGATGCCAGGGAGCTAAGAGATGAGCAGTGACCTGTTGCAGTAAACTAGCTGGGACAGTCTCTAATGCTTGGAACTGGATGAAATCCGAATACAGTTTTCTTTTTATCTTGGCATGATCGTAACAGCCACGTGAGGGGGCTTCGAATTTCCAGTTAAAGGTCTTTACTGATTTGGTTGCACATATATGCCTGTACTTACGTCGGTCTGGTAACTCATCTTCCCCTCTGTTGACATCCCCATTGGGTGCCTGGGCCTGGTTGGACAGCTGCAAATTAGTCAGGCCCTGCTCAAGATCGCCTGTCGTTGAGGCATTTGATACCTCGCCACTGCTTCCTATGGCCAGGAAAAACAATACAGATGGAGGAGCTATTCAGAGTGAAGTACAGCAACAAAAAGTGCTGCACTGGTTTAAGCTTCACCGTTCCGCAGGATCACTTACACGTGTATTTCACTGTTTTTCAAAACAATAAACATTTCTTTTTTTGAAAAAGAAAAATCTAATCCTGAATCATTTACGAAAGCAGATGGATATTTCAGTACTTAAAGCTCTCACTACAATTTGAAATTCAAAATCTCGGAATGGGAGACAAAGAATGCTGTTCCTAGGAAGCCGACGAAGGTACCCAGGAAAACTGCATGTCTACACACCATGGAATACAAATTCACATTCTATCCCAGAGTCCAAGGTCAGATGAAGAGAATGCAACTATTTCTCTCTAAGTCCAAAGTAAACACCTGTGGCAATCAAGATGGATGCCTATTAGCTGCAGGCATGAATGACAGAGGGCGCTTTGTGACCTGGCAACACTGGCCTGTTGAACTGATGTCATGCAGGCGTGCCCTTGTTTGCGCACGTAGGGTATAGAGTACGCATGACTCATGTCTTATGGATGATTACAAATCACACAGTCTGCACTGCTACACATTGGCCAGTCGTACGTGGCACCAATGACATTCAAGTGTTGACCCTATCTTGTTTGGCTACCGCTGAGAGGATGCATGCACACTAAACTCATACACTGTACATGTATATACCACAAACACAAATATGTAAGGACTGCAAGTCATGAGCACGAATCCATGGAATGGGAGGGTGTCCATAACCACATTTAGTGCACTTTGAACATGTAGGCAATTATTTATGATCATCTCCAATCTACACGAGCCAAATTTAGCACACAGAAGAATTTATTTTTTTGGGGGGGGGAACATTTCATAGATTTACAACTGGAACACCTGCACTTGTGAGTAATTTCCTAGACCAAGAGCTGAACTTCAGCAAAGCTTCTATTTTAATCAGACACTGCATAAATCCTGAAATGCCGTTGTGGTTTTGAGCAAATCTGTGGCACATGGTTGCGCTCTAGGAGAGGTCATGCTGAAGGGCCCCTGCATTGAGTATTTGTAGAGCAAGACCAAGTCTTACTGACCTGTGACTAGGCTATCCCCCTGCTGTTCCATCCTCCTGTGTTGCTGCTCTAACTGCTGCAGGTACTGCTGGTAGTAATGTTCCTGCAATTGCTGTAGCAACACTTGTTGCTGTTGGTGAGAAAGAAAGCAAGCGTAGCACACCTGTCAACACTGGCAACTCAGAAACGAAATGCAAAGTGTGTGCACTACAAGCACCTTGCCGTCTAACTTATTTTGAGCAGGCATCTAATGTACATGTACAACCTGCATGTAAATAAGGTAACATTAATGGTGATATTCTTGGTTGCTAGACAGGTCTTCACGGTACAAACCTGACCTCTGACCCCAAACATCTCCAAGAGCATATGAAAATTTGCAACAGAATGTAAAGCAAAGAGCACCTTGGAGTGAAAATAACAAATGTGAGATGGGCACTTGGTGCGAATAGTTGTGAAGTGTCTCCGCTTACAGCAATGTTCTAGATGGTTTTGCTGCTGACCATGGAATTAACGGTCAATAGGTATGCTCATGACCGACC